GTGCTAGTTGGTGAGTCGCTTGTCAAACAGGAGGATCCTGCTAAAGGAATAAGTGGACTTTTTGGTAAAGACATCTCCTGCTAAGATGTAGTCAGCTGACTCCTACTTGTTCCTATCCAGAGTGGTGATGTTGAGATTCTTCCCCACAATTTTGTCATATCTCACCAGTTGTATTGTTCGTCGCCTGCTTGCAATAGTGTAAGATGTAACGTATGGATCATATGCCCTATGAATAGAAATGATAATTTGATACTTAATTGGGCGTATTTGAACAGCTGCGTCGGTTCAAACTATCAAATGTGGTGCTTTACACAACTTTACCCGCACGTACCTAATGATATATGACTCATGACTTCACATACCACTCTTATAACTAAATTATACTCCTTCCTTCCGTTCCTATTTACTTTGTCCATATTACCTCTTTTAACTGTATCTATTTATTTGTCCATTTTGGCAAATAAAGAATTTTTTTTTCTATTATATCCTCATTTAAACTTTCCACAACATTGATTAATTATCTTGAGTAAATTTTGGAATCATAATTAACAAGGCTATGTTAATCATTGTTGTTTTGTATATTATTTCTAAAGTGTACAACTAAATAGAGACAGAGGAATTATTAGTGTTAATTAATACATATTTTACTTCAACTTATGGCAATTATAATAAATTAGTACGGTTTAATATACACATCGACATGCCTTTTTATATATGCAATGATAAATTTATCTTTAAGCTAACCATTTAACTCTTAACGGCATGATTTTTACCTACATAAGTGGCATTTACTATTTTAAATTACAAGTTCAAAAAAATCTTTTTATCTTTTCTCAAGACTTATATTACTCAACAATAAAAGCATAAAATATAAACGCTTATAACTGAAACATCCAGACATCATTCAGGTATAGCGTCCAAAACATCCGAACACAATTCAAGTGACATCTAAAAGCAAGTCTCACTGCACTAGTACTCTGTCGACGATTGTTTTCCTGAGATGACATCTGTATAATACAAGCACAGTATAAAAAATACAATAATTTAAGAATATTAACAATGTTGTTACTTACTTCTTCAACTTAATTATTATATGAATAAAGAACATAAAAAACTGACATATTAATTTTTCCCTAGTTTGCTTTAAGTTGATCATTAATTTTTTTTTTCGCTGCTAGTTTCATTTTCATCAAGTAATTATTTCTCGCTTGATTATGTTCATCCATTTAATATTCATTCTTGACTGGCATGGGTGTATCTTCCTCAAAATCTTGTTGATTTGAGGTACGAGTAAAGACTGACGGATAAGTTCTTCATAGAATTAGTTGGTCTCTAATGCGGGTATAGACATCAGTTGAGAACCCAACTATTGCTTTTAACTACTCTGGTACTTTTCTTACAGACAAATCAATATCAACTACATGAACATTTTGTCAATTGCAATGAAACATATTTACGTCACTTTTTTCCGTCGGAATACTAAAAGCATACAACTATTCAACCTAGAAGATTAACCTTACTCAAACCATCAATTGATTGTTCTCAACCCCTTTAAGTTAATCGAACTTAAAGTAAGAACTTAAAACTAAGCTCTTCTCACCTTCAAAATAACTACATTTTGAAATAATGTTTACTTTAGATTACAATCTTAAAATGAACTTGTCAAAAGTGGATAAAGATTAGTAATCGATAATCTAGTACATGAACAACAGCCAAACTCAAAACTTGATATATATGACTAGGGCCTTAAAATGCTTAACCCAATCCAATCCTAAAAGGGGCGAAGACTGGGGCGAGCTAGCTTTTTTTTTTTCTTTTCATATTTATAATCTATAACATCAAGAAAATGAGAAGATTTTCAAATCAAATATAACAATACATGGTGTTGCACTAATAAAAAATCTAGTGTAATTCGCATGTATCTTGTATATCAGATACGCAAGCTAGATAAGAGATTGACAAACAAGATGGGAGGGAGGCGAGGGTGCGAGATTTGTCTATGTATCCTAGTTACATTCGAATCTACTTGGACAGAGTGTATCCAAAGCAAATTAACCAAATTTTGAGTTTATACATTCCAAGATAAATTAAAAAAAAATTAGGAAAATATCAAATTACCGTTTTACCCCTACATTTAATTAAAATGTTATAAAATTATTAATAAATTAAATATTAAATAATAACTATATCATATTGTTTCATCAGTTTTTTGGCTTTTCATTATGATTTATGAGAGAAATGCATGACTATTAAATAAATCTTTCATTTCACTCTAAATACATTAGTAAATCAACAATCACTTTCATTATATTTTTTTATTTTTTTTACCGGAGAAAAATGTATGTGTACATTCTAAAACTTCATATGGAGCTTGCAATGTGATGGAAATGGATGTTGAATATCTTTGCGGAGGTTAAAATTCATCTTTTCACAAAGTTGACCTTTTAACAAACATAGTAAGTAACTAATACATATTCATGTTTTTATAAATTCTCTTTTGATATTTAATTTTTAGGCAATTATTGAAGGAATTCAACGCGTTTTCAATGATTTACATACTTTGGGTAAGTGAGATGAAAAATCTCTTCTTCCTTTCTTTGTCATTTCACTTAATTATGTATATTATGTAAATTGATCATCGACAAGGTGCTACATTTATCTTTTTGTTATTAAAGTTATTTCGTTTACTTTATAAGAGCTCATTTTTTCCTGTTTCATATCATAATTCATACCTAGCTAGCTACAATCTTTGGAAGAAAATCATTTTAGATAATAATGATGATCATATATAAATATTATGTGGCTTACCTATTTTTTTGTTGTATTCACCTAAGTACCAGCTCAAAATGTACCAAAAAAAAAAAGCATCCAAGTTAGTGATGTTTACGTGCACTTTTTATATTTGGAGCAAGAGTTCCTTGATATGCCACATATCATCAGATGCTATATTATCTTAATTAATTTTACATAATTTCACATATCTTATTTTCCAAACAAATAACTGAAAGTTAAATGAAAAGAATTAGTTGTCACCCTTGTATTTGTATAGAAAAACATATATTTAGATATTTTAGTCTAGAAGACTATATCTGAAATCCTTCTTTTCAATTACTTTTGGATGCAAAAGTAAGTTTTATAAACATATTAAATACAATCTTTAGCATATTTATAAAAATATATTGTGATAAATTTTTATATAGACATGAGATCAGACTTACATAAATTTTAGATTGTAATAGAAGAGAAACGTGCAGCGCACGTTTCCAGAACTAGTATCTATAAATGTACCAAAATCCAATAAGATTCATAATATTACAACATAGTGTGTATTTTAAGTGGTTAGAGTATATACTAGTGAGATTATTGTAAGTTATCCTTAAATAAAAAGCTTAGGCTCATGGGCCGACCCCAACTCGGCCCCAATCAAGTCTCAAGGGCTGTATGGGTGGGGCTTATAAGCCTTAGTTTTAAATGAGCTTGAAAAGTTCTATTCGAACCCTATCGCAATAACAAGTTGGATTGGGTCTGTCCCATTGGCTAAGCGCATTTTGACGGCTCTATATATGACTATGAAAACAAACTTCTTACTAACTGTTTAGACAATAAATTTTTTTTGAAACATAATCATATATATATATATATATATATATATATATATATATATATAAATGTATCGATATTATACAAATAGTATATAATATATAATATCAAGATGTATATACATTTATATATGTTGTTTATACATTTTTTTCAGTCCCGGCCAACTCAAATCTCTTCTATACAATTCTAAATTTTAGATATGAGTTTCCCTTGATTATTCAAGTCTTTTCATATATTATTCTTTCAAAATGATTGATGTTTGTGGCACATCAAATTTTAAATGAGTTTTAAAGAAACTTTAATAGCTAATGGAGCTTTTAATCTTTATTAACTCAAAAATTTCTTTTAACAATTCTAATTTTAGATATAAGCTCCTATATTTTAAGTCTTTTAATATATTATTCACTTGAAATGATTCAGTTTTGCGACATATAAATTTTAAAATTGAGCTTTGACGTAGCTTTAATGGTTAAACATAAAAGAAGGAGGAATGAAGAAGGAAAACAACGAAGAAGAAAGAAGGAACAAAAATGAAGGGAGGAGTGGTTGATGATATGATATTACACCTTGCAATGGAGTGAGAGGGATGAAATGGAAGCTCGTATCTGGTGTCTCGAGTAATAAGAATGTGTCATTTAGACTTAAAGGCCTCAATTAACTATTTAAATTGTATGATGCAAAGGTAAATGAGATGATAATTTTGAGATGGATGTGTAGGCATACAAGCAGAGATAAAGTTAGAAATGAAGATATTTGTGACAAGGGGATGTGACCTTCATTATCAATAAAATGAAGGAAATGAGGGTAAGATGGTTTGAGCTTGTGAAAAGGCAATGCATACACCTTAATATCGAGGTGTGAGAGTTGGCTATGACGGGGATAAGGAGAGAAAAATGTAGGCCAATAAAGTGATTAGACATATCAGGACACCTCTTCCTTTTACTCGGATCATGATCCCATGGGAATGGACAGGAATTTCAAGGATTTGAATATAAAATTAGTAGAGAATTAAGCGCGTTTAAATTTTCAGTTATTATTATTGTTATTATTAGTCTCCAATTATCAAAAAAATATTAACTCTTTTAATTTGCTAAAATTGACAAATAACATGAAATATCTATTTTTTATATTGCAACATCTTTCGAGTGCCCTAATCTTGTTTTGATTTCAAACTTTTACCTTTTTAAACACATTTCACATTGTAATAACGTTTACTAATCACTTTCGACCGATCTTACAAAAACAAACATAATTTGAAATTTTCAAATATTACAAGAAAAAAAAAAAGACTCATTGACATGGTGGAATTTTAAATTACAAAACAATGGCTATCTTGAATTTTTATTTTTTTTTAAAATCGTAAGATAATAGACTACTTCATGTATTGAAGAAATTAGTGTTGCCTACATATTTTGGGGTTGAGAGGGAGAAAATCTCAAAGTAACTAGGACCATCCGCCGGCTTCAAAACCTCTGCTCTCTCCTTATCTTCTTTTCTTCCTTCACTCTCTCTACCCTAGAGATATGTCTTCTCTTACCAAACCCTTAATCAAGAATTTATCAATGGCGACCAATTCTTGCCTTATCTCTCTTCCACCCTTCTTCACTACAACCAAATCCATGTCTTTTATTTCAACCCCATTAAAACCCATCTCCCTTTCTTCCTCTTTATCTCTTAAAAAGACCACTACCCAATTCCCATCTATTGTTTCTGTAGTGGCTGCTCTGCAAGATGATGACAGCAGTGTTGGCCTTGAAGATAAAGAACAAGGTGGGGAAGCGCTTAGCTTTGATTTTGCAAGTGTTGGTGATGCAGGGGAGAGTGATGAGGCTGAGGCTGAGGCAGAGGAGTATCAAGAACCTCCGGAAGATGCGAAATTGTTCGTTGGGAATTTACCCTATGATATAGACAGTGAGGGGTTGGCTCAGTTGTTCCAACAGGCTGGTGTTGTTGAGATTGCTGAGGTAACAATGGCCTAATTTTTCATTGAAAAGTTTGAACCTTTTTTTCAGAATATTGAAAAATTAGAAGCTTCTGGTATTACGGTGTACTGAATTTTGGTTTTGCAGGTCATTTACAATAGGGAGACTGATAGAAGTCGTGGATTCGGGTTTGTGACAATGAGTACCGTGGAAGAAGCTGAGAAAGCTGTAGTACTGTACAACCGTTATGTGAGTTACAATGGTTCTGTTTCTTTGAAGATGCTTTCTATTAGATATAAGACGTTTATTATTTTTGTTGGTGCAAATAAGAACCCCTCCCCATTTTTGGCTACTAAGAAACAATGTAGGTTAACTCTATATTTGTAGATTCAATAGAGGCTCAAGAGTCCTTTTGCCTCTAAGTTGTTTCGATTTTCTAATATCATGTACAATGCGAGGAAATTCTCTTTTACTTTATCAACTTGCTCATAAAATTAAAATGGAACTTAAATTCCAGGGTAAGGTTCATGTTACAAGTATTTGTAGTTGAAGGTGAGTTTTTTGAAAGGGAGGATGATTTTGATATCCATTCATTAAGGTTGTAAAAAATTGTTGTGTGTGACCTTATGACATTATCTCCACAAGTAAAAAATTTATTTATGATAGTTACCTTATACATGACAGAAGTAAAAGCATTCTGAGCTCACTACTGAAGGAAGGAAGCTAAGCTTGTTGGCTGAAATGTTTCCTTCCACTTTCTTGGTTTGCTTCTTATGTTGATAGCATGTGTAGAGAATGTTCACTCTTGATTAGCAATCTATTCCTAATAATGATTATAGAAGATTCATATAGTTCCCAAAAACAAAAGATTCATATTGTCACACCAACTAATTTGGATAGGCATAGTTGATTTATTAATAACTTGTCCCTATCAAGAGGCTGTTTCCTCTGGAAACTAGGGAGAAGGTAAAGGGCTTCCATAGTAGCTCTGAAGCAAGAGAGTAGGAGTGTCTTCTGCACTATTATGACCCCCTCCATGGATGAGCATGAGCAAGAGAGGAAGTAGAGAGGCTGGTTTGTCCTTTTACCAACTTACTATTTAGTATTGTGTGTTCGACTGAATGTGCTGGTCACTTCAGAGTGAATGTGAATAATAGATCTGACGTTTTCCATGTGCTATGCCCTTGAGCTGTCCCTTTAAAAAAAAGGCCTGGCACACAATTCAGATATTTCTTAGTTATGATGTGTGACATGTGGATACGTCGGCATGTTAACGGAACTCTTACTAATTTTCTATTTTATTTGGCTAGGATCTCAATGGAAGGCTCTTGACAGTCAACAAAGCTGCTCGAAGAGGATCACAGCCAGAACGTCCACCTCGAACATTTCAGCCTACTTACAGAATCTATGTTGGCAACATCCCATGGGACATTGATGATGCACGCCTTGAGCAAGTCTTCAGTGAACATGGTAAAGTAGTAAGTGCTCGGGTGGTTTATGACAGAGAGTCTGGAAGGTCACGAGGCTTTGGTTTTGTGACAATGTCAAGTGAACCTGAGATGAGTGAAGCAATAGCCAACCTTGATGGACAGGTGATTTGCACACTCATTATGACACTCACACACATGCATGATAGGAATTGATCATAGCATGAGTCCTTTAGTCCATCCATGAGTTTGATTCTAAATGCTTTGACACCTTCTAACCATTAATATGAAAAAAGAAAAAAGTTAGACCTCTTCTCTAGATTTTTAATGATAGATCAACTTTTTCTTACGAATTTTGATTAGTTTTCTATGATAAATTGCAAAGTGACTGCAATCTAGATGTTTAACTAACATCAGGTTGGTTACTCTCTAATTTACTAGATATTTATCCTGATTCTGATACCCTATATTCCGAATCTTATAAGAGAGCAAGAGAATTTTTTTTTAATAAAATAATTGAATGATATTAGAAAGCATCAAGAAGATGCGAAGTTACAAAAGCACCGTGTGCAAGAAAGCTGCTCCAAACAGAAAATATGGAGCTAGCTTGGCAAAAACTTGTGAAACAGTCATTAGGGAACCCTACTACTCTAGAGTCTAGAGAGCAAGAGAATTACCAAGATGTGCTTCCATACTGGTGATGGAACCAAATTTACGCTTTATAGATTTCTAACCCTTTAATTTGTAACGGCATGTAGTCTTTCTGCATTTATTTTATATAATTGGCATTCTACAGGAATAGACAAGCTATACATGCAAACTTTTCCAATATGGACATATGGTTTATAAAGCCCGTGTTTGTAAATTGGTATCTTATAGATATCGTATTCTGTGGCTAGAGGTCACGTTTAAATTGGTAGCCGGTGTCATCTTGATGTACCAACAACGTCTAGATTCACTATTATCCCACCCCAGCAAAAAGCAAACAAAAAAGAAGAAGAGATTTAAGATGTTTATGAGTCCTAACAAATTAGATTAGTACACCCCGGTATCATTTGTTTACTGCATCCCTTGAAATAAACTGTAGTACTGTACCCATTTTGCATTAGTGTCGAGTGTTTAGTTGTTATTTTTGGTATCTGTTACACAAATCCCACATTATTTAGTTTGTACTTCCCCCACTATTTATGTGAAATGCGTATTCCCCCACCTTACCAAACCCCATTTATGAGATCACACTAGTTGTTTATTTGTTAGTGGAACATATGTAAGAGCACAAAATGACTAAAATGGTTGTTATAGTATTCTTGCTTAGTTAAGCTATTTCTTGTCATCTCATATTAGTTTTTCATAATTCTTGCAATACACTGGTATTACTTTTAAAATTAGAAGAAAGCAATTCTCGACTCTGGGTGAACTTCAACTACAGCTAACCTGGTGGTTTTGCTACAAGATAAAGCCGAACTTTACTTTGGGTTGGCATTCTTCTTTGGAAAGAGAAGTTGCTTGCCTTACCACACCAATCACCTTAGCGATGCAAGTCTTAGCAATGAAAGCTAGATAAAGTAATATTATATATCAGTTACATATTCATTAGATAAGAGATTGTGGATCTGTTTCATAGTGACGACAACTGGGTTGGTATGGTCAAATTTTGATATGATTAACTATAATCCGACAAGAAATGCAAATATATGATGATGATTATCAAGTTCACTATAATTCAAGTATTATGATTCCTGATGTGACTTGTTCACTGAAGAAATGACCTCTTTGTATTGTCTACTTAATACAGATGTTGAACAGTTAGTTACTTGGTTGATGGTTATCCTCATTGACAGATTCATGTTAGGCATATATTTTCTCTCGAGATATTTGATCTTGAAGCTAATAGTTTCTCTTTGTTGTATTTCAGACTTTGGATGGGAGGACGATCAGGGTAAATGCTGCTGAAGAAAGACCTAGGCGCAACACATTTTGATTTTGATCATATGTTTTATTTGTTCGATTGCATAGCAGTGGCAGTTGTGCAGTTATGAGCAGTTAGATTTTCATCAGACGTCTTTAATTTTGCTCTCTACTTGTAAGTTTTTATTTGTTGATTACTTATATAGGGCACAGCGACTTTTTTTGTGTTCTTTCTTCTTTCTTTCTACCGCTCTTACCCTTTGGGGGGACTCTGAAGTAGAGGATTGAATGCTGTAAGATTTTCAATTCTATTTGTGGTAGTTCTCATTTGCCGTTAGCTTTACACCTTGATGTTGATAAAACTGATTCAGACATTTGGAAGCAAAATGGATTGGAAGCTTTACTATGATTAAGAGATTTTGTTTCCTAATTAAGCTAGTCGTCCAATGTTGTATATATTGGTATGACATCATATGCAAAATAGAAAAGCATTGTAAATTGTTTTACTGGTGTTCTGGTCCAGGATTTCACACCTTCACATTAATCCAGTGATGCATACCATGTGTATGAATATACATAACATATTCACATCATTATCAATCACTTTAACTAGTTTAAGGGGCGTCAGTTCAGTGTTAAACACCCAGTGCAGGTAAAAATATAGGCTATATATACACCCAGTGCAGGTAAAAATATAGGCTATATATAAGAGTGTACGATTAAGCAGTAAGCGAACGCGAAGAGCTCTCTCTCTCTATGCTCGCGTTTGTTTAGTATTTACGCATCTAATGCATCAATATCAGTATTATCTCTCTCTCTCTCTATGCTCGCGTTTGTTTAGTATTTACCCATCTAATGCATCAATATCAGTATTATCTCCAGTAACGCATGTAACCAACCAATTCCTTTTGCTAGACAAGAAATATATTATCATGCTAAGAGAACACAAGAGAGAAGCAATAGCTTGTAGAGCAGGAGAGAATTTGCACGGAAATAAATACAGAACCATTTAGATCGTTCGTTCTTCACAGGCTAAAGGTGTGAAACTGTACAAAACATCAAACTGGAGTGCCACGCAAGAGGGGAACCAAGAACACCATCGCCAGAAACAACCAGCTTTATGTGCCCTTTATCTGTGCTCTCTCAACTAGTCGGTGCCATTTATCTGCGCTTCTCGACTAGTCAGTGGAACATAACGGACAGAAGTCTCACTTCGAACACTTATTGAACCATCCAATTTTTTGTCTATAACCTTGAGGTCTTGAAAAAAAGTACCCACTGGAATTACCATCCTTCCCCCGGGCTTTAACTGGTCAATGAGATCCTGTGGAACATCAGCTGCAGCTGCTCCAACGTGAATAGCGTCATAAGGTGCGTGCTCTGGCCAACCCTTCCTCCCGTCTGCAATGATGCAAAAATTACCAGAAAACACTCATTTGTCAACACACTCCAGGAAAATCCCATTGTGGGGGCATGTTAAACTTGAAAAAGAAATAATATTAACCAGCCATCTATGACACTACTTTGCTACGGGCCCGTGTTTCCTGAACAAACTACATGAAAATGATATAAAACCATACCACCAACATGCAATGAGAGGGACCCTTCTTTTAATAAAGGAGCTGCTGCACTCTTTTCAACATTCTTGATTGACCACGCAACCAACTCTGGTATATGTTCCACACCAACAACTCGACCTTGTGGTCCAACCATCAGAGCAAAACATGCTGTGAGATACCCCGTTCCTACATGAAATAAAAACCTATTAAGAAACTGACTCCTGCAACATAATTAGCTTTGACAAGAAAAGGTCATCCTTCATTCATTCAAACAATCAACTTCAAATTGATAGAACTTAATTACTTACAACACAACAAGCAAATATTCTAAAAGCTTATCAGTATCTCCTAAAATTTTCCATGTGAGAGAAAATAAATATCCATCAAGTGACAACGGCATGAAAATGCCAAAACATGCAAACTGCACATTCGTTTAATTTATTCAGTTCTCTCCAAAACTCCAACTAAGAATTACAATTATGGAGGACATTTATACTAGTGAGAAAGTTCCCTTGACCACAAAGCTCCTCATTACATGAGGATAACTTCTCAAAAGCTCATGACGAATGAAACTTCCACTTATAGCTAATACAGGAAATCTTATACAAAAATAAAAAAAGGTACAGAAAGACCAATCTTCATTCAAGACCAAAACAGAAACAAGCAAAGACAGTTCAACATTATCCTCTTCCTCTAACCAGACCCTAGATTCGATTCTTTCACTTCTATCTAAATTTGACCCATCAGTTATCCAACGATTATTAAGATTTATACACCAAACTAACACAAACTATTGATTGTTCACCTGGAAAGCCAATCACGTGGAACATTTTGGTAAAGAATAATCATGTGAAACATTTAACATCCTTCTGGAAATATTATTTCCGCACTGGATTAGAAGTTATTTTTAACAATAAGATTCATGGATCTCATAGCACAAGTGTGGAGTTGATAATACATATCAACACCAAACTATTATACTTGCTGCTAGATGGCACCCATTTGACATGCAACCATAACACAAGGAACTTGGAAGACGAGAGGAAAAAGCTGTGCAGCAAAAAGGGTTCACTTTCTCAATCCAATGATGCTGCTAATACTTCTCACAAGGTGGCATTGATACATGCTCACAAGACAAATGTTAATACCTCAGGAAAACAGAAACAACCAAGGCTAAAATATTGAGAACCAATAAGCTGCTATTTAATCACTCACTGAGTGCATACATATTTGTCATTTCTGATAATCTACTGACATGAAAAACCAGGCAAGTTATGAGAATGACCCAATAAGAGAGCTGTAGAAATAGCATCTCACTTATCCCTGTGAAAGCACAATTCAATCATAACTTGGACAGCATTTTCTGAGTAGAATCAAAATCTATCCTAAGATGCCAAATTGGACAAACGGAATTTGAACTAATAAATATGTGATTCTGAATTAGTTCACAGAAACGAGTGAGCTCAATATATAATTACCTGAACCAACATCAAGAGCATGCATGCCAGGCTGCAACCTATCCTCCAATAATTCAAGACACATAGCATGCATATGAGGTGCTGAGATAGTGGCATTGTAACCTATACTCATGGGGCTATCAACGTAAGCAGGAGTACCCTCAGGTACAAACAAACCCCTATCTACAGTTTCCATTATTTCTATTACTTTCTGTGATTTTATGACTCCACATCTTCGCAACTGCTCAGTCATTCCCTTGTTTCTGTTACCGGCACTTCCACTCCAAAATTGCTGTTGATAAACATAAAACAAGATTGAAATAAGAGATAACAAATATGCTCATCTGGTGACCTGCTCAAGATTGACCGGAAAGCAGAAAGAGATGCACAGCTATTAAACCATTTGAGTTATGTGACAAACAAATATAGATGATGTAAGATTTTATACATAGAGGTAGATATATAAAATGATGAATCAGCCTATCAGGAGGATTTACTTGCTTGGATGTCCAAGAGTATGACAAATAACTAGTTATTCAGGCACCCCAATCTACCCTTTCACACTGATGTTTGAAGAATAACTCAATTAAAAAAATTCATAGGTATCTCTGCCAGGACATTCTTACTCTCATTTAGGAACACCTTCACAATCCAGTACAATATAATAGTCAAAAAGATGTGAGCTTTAATGTGTGGATGCCAAGCTGAGCTAGGGAGTTCAAAGATTGTTATCAAGACGCTACTTTAGAGGCTTAGGGGGTGCTTTGAATGAAGGTTTGAAGACCAACAACATGCTCAAACAATCAAACGAACTCACTTGTGACGTGAGATACGGAGCTCAAATGCGACCACGATTAATGTAATGGGGCCACATGTAAGTCGCATCTAGCTTGAACTTTGAGGGCTCACTATTTTTAGGGTTGCGGAGTACTTGTATTCGCAAGTCAAAGGATGCAGCGTGGCATGGCATGTCATGTCCATCACAAACTCCAGAAGCAGTCTGTATGGGGCTGTTTTTTGCAAATTAATTTGAGTGCCACTTTTGGGCATTTATGTAATAGCTAGCCTAGACTATATAAATAAGTGAGTAACTCATTTAGACTCCGTGAAATTCTGATATGATATGACTTTGAAGAGTGAAACTCTTGAGAGAGTTTAGGCTATGGTCTTTGTTGCTAGACATTGCTGATGTGATTGCTTGCTTAAGAAAGCATTCCTCTTGAGGTTTGTTTATCTTAATGATAGATTGTTTGTTATCTTATAGATTTCGTGCTTGTCTTAAAATTCTTAATAAAATTTTGGTTTTAATATAGTCATTAGTATGTATCAGTTCCATGCTTGTATGTTTCTTCTATCTTTCATTTCTTGCTCTTAGATTTAGGGTTTGTGGAGCTTGACTATTCCACTCCACCATGTTTACTGCTACTAATTTTTCATTCAATTCACTGTTGACAAATTCACAATCACAACAGAATAGCAGGAAAATGAATCATTTGAAAGCAATAAACTAAAACACATAACAATTAGAAATAATAACATACTGATACTCTAGGTGTCGAAAAACAACAAACAGATGGAAAAAGTACCTCCATTCGAGAGAATCGAGAGTTCCCCGTGAAGGAATATGGATTTAGGACACGGCAAAAGGATGAAGAGAAGAGAGGAGATTTTTGGCGATGAAAACTATGGAGATGGTGGGCGTATAATAAACAAGCGTGCTTTAAAGGCGCACGGTAGCGGAAACCATACGCTATAGCTGACACAGAATGTAAGGATATAGAAGACGGCATTATTCACTCTCGCTGCTTCTCGATCCTTTAATTTGGCATTCTCCTCTTTCTTTACTCGCACCTTCTCTTCCCACGTGTCCTTTTTTTCCAATTGGGCCTTCAAATTTTATTAACTTTGTAGGCTTTATCTGGCCCAATTTCTGTCTACTCAAAGCCCATTAAAAGCTCCATGGATCAATGTTCTTGAATTAATTGGACTTTTACCTTTTACATGTGCTGGCCTTTTATTTTAATTTCTGAAATACTCAATTCTCTCGTAAATAATTACAATTCATACTTTCCATTTATTAAGACTTGATAAATTTTTGCTTATTTATACTAAATCAATATCATATATTGTATTTATATCATTTAGACTGATAATTTTCGCTTAAGTGATACTAAATCGGTATCATATATTATATTGATATCATTAAAGCTCATAATTTCGCTTAGTCGATACTAAATCATTATACATATACTGCATTGATATTAAAAAAGTTTCTTGTTCAGAAATTACTCATTAGACAATGATACTCTTATAGTCAGGGGCGGAGCCACCTTGTATCTAAAAACCCCTTCGGCGAAAAATTATATTATTTTCACATGGTTAAAATAATTTTATATG